TTCCGAGAGAACATGCAGCTTTTCATCAAGGAGACAGTGCATGTGGGAAACAGAATCACTTGGGCTTTTTAGGGGTTACTCAACACTGGCTCTAAGCCCATGCTAACCTTTAAGGACCAGGAGATCACTGTGGTAAACCAGTCAGATCAAGAGCTGTGATGTCATATGAAGAAAGAAGTGTTTTGGCTCCGATTCATCTCACAGTGGACCCAATGAATCCATGGACCCATCCTGTGTTCTTGAACACAGTTAAAGGCTCCCTAAACTATGGAGTAAGGGTTATCAGCATAAGAAGGGCCAAGTGTTTAAAAAAAAAAAAAAAGGCCAAGTAAAATCCCCTAGATGTGCTCCTTTCTAACAAAATAATAAATCCAAAGCAACAGCACATCTCTGTGGAAACTGGAGGACAATACCAACAAGAAAGACTTAAAAGATAGTGGGATGGGGATTGTTAGGACATTCTGTTTCACTAGCCAGTGGAGAGGACTTGGATCTTCGAGAATGACTATGGGTTAGAGTAAACCAAATGAAGTGGTGACTCCAATTGTAGTTGTTCCAGATATAGTCTCTACTGGGACAAATCAACACAATCCCTGGCACCTCGTATGCATCCATCAAGCTAACAAATGCTTTCTTTTTACCTATTCCAAAAGCAGACCACCGGAAGCTGTTTTCATCTTACAGTCCAGAAATACACTTTGACTGTCATAGCTCAGGGCTTCATCAATATTCCAGCTATCTTTCATTATTTGGTCCACAGAGTGTGGGCATCTCAACACCTCACAGGTCCACTACATTGTTAGTTCAACCAGCAAATCCTGTATCCCCACCCACACTTGGTGCCATCCAGCTTTCTACTTTTTGCCAACCTAACAGGTGGGAAAAGACACTATTACTCTTCTAATTTTCCTGTCTCTGATTATTTAATAATTCCAAACACCTCTTTCTATGCACGTTAAGATTTACTATTCTGTAACCTACTCATTAATATCCTTTGACTATTTTTCTACAGAGGTTGCTGCCCTCTTTCTATTGATATGTAGTTCCTTGTCTAGTCTACATATTAATCCCTTATCATTAATCCCTTATCAATTTGGGCACTGCAAATACCTTCTCATTCTTTGTCTTTCACTGAATGAAAATCTTTAGTTTTTATATAATCGAAGTCATTTTTTACCTTTATAAATTTTTGAAGCTTCCTTTTCCCTTAGGAAAGAGCTTCTTCAATAATGTCTTCCATTAATTTTATAATTTCTCTTACATTTAGGTCTTTTTAATTTATCCATAACCCATCCTTTCTAAAGCGTAAGGTTTGTTTTTTCTCCATATAGTGAGCCACTCTTCCTAACATGACTCCTTTCTCCAGTGATTTATGATGCCACCCTTAAGTTCCTGAACACATATGGGCAAGGCTCTGCTCTCTAATTTGTTCCCCAAGTCTATTTTTCTGTTCATGCACTGACACTACAGTTTTTATTACTACAGTCTTGAAACAGTATCTTAATTTCTGATAAGGCAAGCTCCACCAAAACAAATATTAAAGATTGCTTTAGCTATTCACAAACTTTATCCCATCTGCCATATGAATTTGAGATTTAGGTTACTGTTTGTCCGACAAACCAACTAGAATCTTGATGGCAATTTAATCAAATTTATAGATCAAAATGGAGAAAAATGACCCTCATAATAATAAACAAACATATCCCAAGAACGTGGAAAGTTTTTCCTTATTTAGATCCTCTTCTAGTTCCTTATTAAAGTTTTAAAGTTTTCTTCTTAAAGTTCTCATGTACTCTTGTGTTAATTCCTAGAGACTTTACAGTTTTGATGTTTTTATTTATTACAATATTTACTTTTGATTACCTTTCCTAGTTGGTTATTGCTAGTGTAGTAAATGCTACTAATTTTTGTAGTTTGATCTACCTGTAACCCTGCTAAACTCTTACTAGTTCTAATAGTTTCTCTGGATTCTTTTTTTTTTTTTTTTTTTAAAGATTTTTATTTATTTATTCATGAGAGACAGAGAGAGAGAGGCAGAGGGAGAAGCAGGCTCCCAAGGAGCAGGAAGCCCGATGCGGGACTCGATCCCAGGACCCTGAGATCATGACCTGAGCCGAAGGCAGACGCTTTAACCATCTGAGCCACCCAGGCGCCCGTTTCTCTGGATTCTAATGGTTCTTCTAGATAAGTGATAATATCTGCAAATAATGAGTTTTTATGCTTCCCTTCATATCCTTATATTTATTTTTTCCCTTTGTAGTGTTAGCCAGGACTTTTCTTACCGTGTTAAACAACAGTGATAGAGGGCATCCTTGTTACTGATCTTAAAGTGAATGCATCTAAAATTTCTCCATTAAGTATTATTATTTGCTGTAGGTTTTTGGTAATGACCTTGATCTGGTTACCTCATATTCCAAGCTTGCTAAGAGTTTTTATCATATATAGTTGTTGATCTTATTGAATGTTTTTATAATATCAAGATAATCATGATTTTTCTCCTTTAGCCTACTAATGTGATAAATTACATTAATAGTAAACAGATGTTGAATCATATCTACATTCTTAAACTCCATGGATCATGATTTAACACAGACATGAAGTAGGATTTCATATCTATGCTAATAACTGAAACACATCTATAATTTTCTCCTATCGTCCCTACCTAGGTTTAAAATCAAGATTTCACTAACTTTATAAATTGAGCTAGGCATCTTTTTATTTCCCTATTTCCCAGAACAACTTGTAAAAAGGAATTGTTAAAGTTCAAAGCAACTCACTGATCTCAGCCCAGTTTTTGAAAGTGGAGGTCTTTACCATTTCAGTTTGTTAAATATTAATTCAAGCCATCCATTTCTTCTGACACCAACTTTCAGTTTGTATTTTTCTAAGAATTTATACTTTTCATCTAGGCTCTCATATTTATTAACCTATAGTTCATAAAATTCTTTTTTAAAATTCTCATGCTTGGGGCACCTGGATGGCTCAGCCATTAAGCGTCTGCCTTCCGCTCAGGTCATGATCCCAGGGTCCTGGGATCGAGCCCCGTGTCGGGCTCCCTGCTCCGAGGGAAGCCTGCTTCTCCCTCTCCCACTCCCCCTGCTTGTGTTCCCTCTCTTGCTGTGTCTCTCTCTGTCAAATAAATAAATAAAATCTTTAAAAATATAAAAAATTTAAAAAAAGTCTCGTGCTTGTAGTTATTTCCCATTTTCCCTTAATTATATTTGCATCTTTTTTTTTTATTTTTATTCTTATGTTAATCCCCATACATTACATCATTAGTTTTAGATGTAGTGTTCCATGATTCATTGTTTGTGCATAACACCCAGTGCTCCATGCAGAATGTGCCCTCCTCAATACCCATCACCAGGCTAACCCATCCTCCCACCCCCCTCCCCTCTAGAACCCTCAGTTTGTTTTTCAGAGTCCATCGTCTCTCATGGTTCGTCTACCCCTCCGATTTCCCCTGCTTCATTCTTCCCCTCCCGCTACCTTCTTCTTTTTTTTTTTCTTAACATATATTGCATTATTTGTTTCAGAGGTACAGTTCTGAAATTCAACAGTCTTATATTTGCATCTTTTTTCTTGATCAATCTTATCAGAGGTCTAGCTTATTAATCTTCAAAGAACAATCTTTTGGTTCAGCAAATCTTTTGTTCCTAATTTCACTGGTTTCTGCTCTTAATTTGATGGTGTTTTCTGAACTCTTCAAATGAACCATATAAACACTAAAACAAGCTTCTGTCAGCATTTAGATAAGTCACCTGGCCACTCTGTCCAAGGCCTGGTTTCACTATATATAGACTTCAATATACAAACTATATTATTCTCACATATGCATGATACAAAAAAAAAAAAAATCATATCCGATTCTTACCAACCATACCTACACATGAAAGTCCTTGACCAAAGCTTTATCTTGAAGGCAAATAAATGATATTATGTGCTGGTCCCCACCAAAAAAATTAAAGTGTAAAGCTGTAACTGTACATCTGAATCAAGGCAGATATTTTCTCTGCACAGCTAATTGGACAATTACTGGTACCGCTTGATAAAATTAGTAACTAGAAATGAAATCTCCAGTTGCTTTACCAGATGCTATTCAAAACCTGCAGTTATTAATAGGAGAGTAAAATCTGGCTGCCATGGTCACTTTTCACCACTACCACCACCTCCAAATAAACCCACTCAAAGCAAAAGCACTTTTTTTCCCTAGCTATAGAAGCATACCTCCTGGTTAGGGGCAGTTTGGGATTACAAAACAGATTTTGGTCTTCAATCTTTCTGCTCGCAATTGAACATTAAGGGAAGGCAGACCACTAACATAAAGTTCAACATTCAACATAATCTTGGATTTGGACACATGCTAAATGGCTTATTCTTATGAGTGTAGGCTTTGAAAAGTAATTGTATACGTTATTAGCTTCAAAACGGATGTCGTTCCCACCGCATTGGTGTTACCGAAGAAACTACTCCTACATTTCCCTATCAGGACGCAGAAGGTGTACGCTGAAGAAGGGAAAGAACGAGATGTAGACATTGGTCAACTTTCTAATTCCTGAGTTGTTTAACGCAGACTAGCTAAAAGCACAAGAACACAATTGACAAGAGTTCAATCTGGTTACCAAAAAAAAAAAAAAAAAAAAGACTCTCCCTAACGAAACTCAGAAGGCCTTATTTTCCCCTCACGTCTGAAGGCGAAACTTTGAAGGGGGAACGGAGAAGAGCTTCTTCATGTTGCGAGATAGCCAGCTGTGATAAAGATCGCATTTGCAGGAGAACTTGGGGCTGTGTGCACACCAGGCTGCTTCTCTAGGCCAGGTAACCCAAGAAGCCAGGGCCGCTCCGGCGCTGGCCGCAGACACCAAGGGGGGGGGGGGGGCGGGGAGGGGAGGAGAGACCCAGGCCTGAAACAAAGGAAGCGGGGCTGGCCGAGAAGGGTGGATTCGGCGTCCGGGTGGGGAGGAGAAAAGCCAAGGCTGCTGGGGAGAGGCTGGACTCACAGAACTTGGAGGTGGAGGTGTTGATGTTGATGGTGGAGCTGGGGGTGGGGGCGGGGGCCGCCTTGGCCACAGCGGCGGCCGTGTCGCAGCTCTTCAACATCATGATCACCCCATTGGCCTCCGGCGGTGGTGGCGGCCCCATCGAGAGCCCCTCCTTGGGGCCTTTCCTGTCCACCGAGGCCGCGGGCACCGCCAGCAGCTGCCCCCCCGGCGGCTCTCGCGCAGGGGCTGGGATCGACGAGGGGGGCGGCGGCGGTGGCGGGGGCTGCCGGAAGCCGTCCACCGCGGCCTCCCAGTTGTTGTGGTTCTGGTCGTCCATCATCGCCACGTAGCTGCCCCACTCCTCCTCTTCCATGCTTTCCTCCATCCTGCAGGCCCCCAGCACCCGCCCGCCTCACAGGCACCTGCCGCCCGTCTCAACCCCGGGCCAGGGGGCACCGCAGCCTCCTCGAGCTCACATCGCCGGGGGCCGGCACGGGCGCGGCGGGGAGGGGAGCGGCGCGCCGGGTCTCTCCGTCTCCGCCGGCCCGACTCTCAGAGACAGGGCTGACGGCGGTGGGCGCTCCCGGGCTCTAGCCTGGGAGAGGCAGCCGTAAAGCGGCAGCGCCCCTCACGACATTTTACAGCAACTTCCAACAGGCGGTTGGAAAGGGTGGCTGGGGGAGCGGCCAGGAGGGCACGTGGTGCGAGGAACGAGCCAGGAGAAAGCAAAGCAAAAAGGGGCAGGAGCGGTGAGTCACCCCCACGCAAAAGGGCAAAGGTTTGGCTCGCCTCCGCTGGCCCCGCGCTGAGAGAGGAGGGGCCCCGGGCCCGGAGGGGCGGGCGTCGATCCCGCCCCCGGTCCGGCCCCACGTGACAAGGGAGTTTGCGCACGCGCGTTCTGTGTCTGGTTACCAGGGCGACCGGAATCTGGCCCGTTCCTGGAGATGCGCCCCAGAGCCTCTGGCGTTCGCTGTGGTACAGGTTCCCGTCTCTGTGGTGGTTTTCTTACGCCCGCCGCGTTTACTGGATCTTCGTACCGCACAGGGTCTCGCGGCCCCGGCCTTTGGTTGACACGGAGCTAAGAGGCCACAAGAGGCCTGGGTTCGCACATTATAAAAGGGTGGGACTGCCCTAGGGGGCCCTTGATGGGTCTGCTGGTGGGCCTCTCAGCCCATACTACCGAAACCTTCGAAACCAAGAATAAAAACCGAAACATAGCAAGGTGGCTTAAAAAAAAAAAAAAAGGCGTTTGAGCTATTCATGGACTTTTTTTTTCAAGTTCCTTAACTTCTCTATACACCGAGGCCAGGAATTTTAAATTTTTAAATGCCAGGCTTCACACAGTGTTCAACAAATCTGACTACAAATTTGAGATTATGTGTGAGAGTCCTGGGGGGGGGGGGCAAAAAGGAGAGGTTATGTAACTATATTATAATTTCTTTAATTTCTCTGCATTCTCAAATTATGGCAATAGTATGTTACAGGAGAACAAATGTTATTTTTATTGTGTTTATAGCTCATTCTAGCTACTGGTGATAAAGTTGACTAGAAAAACCTGTTATTATTTACTCTGGCAGATAATGAATCTTTATTTCCACAGATGTGTGATTAATGTGAAAAATCACTTCAGCTGCTGAAAAATCATTATCTCGGGTGTACTTCAGTGTCCACATTTATTTGGGCTTCTCTACGTATGTTTTCCCAACTGTATTCAGTGCTATACTTAATGCAACTGTTTACCAGTCACTTAACAATGATTTAATTCTAGACAGTGCTCCCACATATTAGTGGCACATATTTTTTGAAGCAATGCATGTTTTTAATTACATGAGCCTGGAACTACACTAATTCTCTGGCCCTGGGAAATTTTTGGAATATTTTCTTAAGTGAGAGATAATTGAGCAAAATGCTAAGGGTGGAAAAAATGTAACCTTAGAATTCTGTGCCCAGAAAAAAAAGAGGGTGGAAAAGGAAAACAAATTACAATCTTTTATAGACAAACGTCAACCGATAGTTCATCATCAAGAGACTTTTATATAGGTGGGTGGGTGGCTGTGACTGGAGGTAAAGAGGTTTCTACCTAATAAAATATTCAATACACAAGGAAGATACAAATCATAAATATATCTCTAATAACATGGTCACAAAATATATGAAGCAAAAGTTCGTGAAAGTACAAGGAAGAGCAGGCTACCGTCGTGGCAGGTGATTTTCACATCTCTGTCTAATAGATTGCAGTGGGTTGAATAGTAGCCCCCAAAAAGATATATCTGTGTCCTAATCCCTGGAACCTGTGAATCTTACTTTATTTTAGAAACAGGGTCTTTGCAGGTGTCATTAAAGCTCTTGAGATGAGAGGTTCCCGGATTAGCCAAGTGGGCCATAAAACCAATGACAAGTGTCCTCCTAAGAGAAAGGCAGCGGGAGATGTAAGAAGACAAAACAGGAGGTAATGTGACGCCAGAAGCAGAGACTGGAGTGATGGAGCCACATTCCCACTCAAATGTCAACGGCCACCCAAATCTGGAGGAGGCAAAGAATGGATTCTCCTCTAGAGTTTCCAGAGAATTTCACCCTGCCAGTGCCTTGATTTCAGACTTCTAGCTTCCAGAACTGTGAGAAAATACATTTCTGTTGTTTACCACATCACTCATGGTAATTTGTTACAGCACCACAGGAAACTAATACATAGATTAAGAGGATAAAAAAATCTTTGAGGAACTAGAAGATCTGAATAACACAATTACCTAGCTTGATTTAATGAATACAGATAGAACACTGCACTCAGCAACCATAGAATAAATATACACAAGGATATGTGTAAAGTTGACAAAAAATTGAACATACTAGGTCATAAAGCAAGTCTCTCTACAATGTCTAGGATTGGTATCATAGCAACCACGTTCTCTGACCAGTATGGAGTTAAATTAGAAATCAGTAACCAACAGACAGCTAGTAAACCCTCATATTTCTACTCTTCCATCAACTCATGGGTCAGAAAATCATAATGGAAATTGGAAAACATTTAGAACTTAAGGGATTGGTACTCTCTTAGCAATGCAGCTTCCATCCTAGCAAGGCCCTACTCCAGAGGTTTTTACCCCACATTCTGGTGAACACTGGGCCCTTCGTATGTATACTGCCAAAACGACCAATATAAGGCATTCGTTTTAGTTGTAATTAAACACACCATTAGGGAAAAGTCTAATGATGACTGGGCCAAAACAATCACTAACAGGGTGCAACTTGCCATAAATAAGAAAGAAATACCACCTACCAAAGGGAAACCAAATGAGTATGTATTGATAACTGGTTGTTTTTATGGACATTATGAGACATTTTTTACATCACACATGTAAAAGCATAATTTTATATATAATAATATGTAAATACAATTTATATATTAAAATAATAGGTATAATATATAGAATATGCTATAATAAAAGCATATTATATTTTAATAGTTATTAACTTAAAATCTTAGATGATTTGTTCTAGGATGTGGAGTTAGGGAATAACATTACTAGCAACCACTGACCCAACATTGAACAGTTATAACACATGTCAATAATTACTGCAAGCTCCCATGTTGCAGGTATTAATCTATTTGCTTGGCTTTTAGGTTGGTTGGTTGGTTGGTTTCTATTTCCCACTAGGTTATCAGTTTCATTAAACCAGGATATATATATATATAATATATATGTAAGATATATATCTATATATATATAAAGGGACCCCATGGCGGGGTGGGGAAAGCCATCTTTTTCTTTGTTCCTTTTCCTGCTTCTGTTCTTGCTAGGAACTGCACCTCTGCCTTACACATGCCTTAACACATATTCTTGTAAAGATCAAGAGTTAATGATTTCTTTGGCGTCTTCCAGAACAATACATAACATCTAAGGAGTGACCAGTCAGGGTCATAAACTTCTCCAAGGCCACTGACCCCAAACACCTTGATGCCAAGACCCCTGACTCCAGGGCATAAGTGACTTACAGAGGACACCTGAGCACTCATCCTTGTTCTACCAGTTCCTGGATGCCTGAGAGTACACGTACACCATACCACCACCCTCAGTAAAAACTCCAGACCCCTGAGCCAAGACGAGACCCCTGCTCCCTTTAAGTCTCCTGGACATTTTGTATCTGTTCTATGTCTTCAGTAAACTCTGCTCTTACTTTCTCTTGGCTTGCATTTGATTTCTGTCCTGTGCAAAGCCAGGGACCCTCTTGGCTGGTGGTGTGGGACCTGCTCTTGGGGTCCTCGGACCTGGCCAGTCTGCATCATAAGTTTGTATACACAAAGAGAAGACTGATTCAAAATACTAATAGCAGTTATCTAGGGATAATGGGTTTATGGGTGGATTTAATCTTCTTTGTATCTTTCAATGTTTTCTACATTCTCTACAATGAGTGTGTATTATTTTTATAATCAGAAAAAAATTCTTAAACTTTAAAAAATAAACACAACAGAGGCACCTGGGTTGGGTGGCTCAGTCGGTTAAGCATCTGCCTTCAGCTCCCTGCTCAGCGGGGAGCCTGCTTCTCCCTCTCCCTCTGCCATTCTCCTTGCATGCAGGCGCACGCACTCTCTCTCTCTCCCTCCCTTCCTCTCAAATTCTTTTTGAAAAATAATAAACGTAACATTAAAAATATAAATTGGGATATTGTACATTAAAATGTTCCATTTGGCTCCCAGAAACACAAATCGCAAGTAAAAATTGCATATAAATCAGGGCTATTCATGGACACCAAACCTGTCTAAGCAGGAAAAAGGTAAGGTGTGGTTCAGCCAGGGCTCCAGCTCTGTTTTCTGCATTGGACTTTGTCCTGATCTCCTCTTTCATAAGTTTCATCCTCAGGCTGTTGGTAAAATGGCTGTCACAGCCCTGGCCCTCTTATACATGGATAAGAGGTCTAGAAGAGGGCCCAGGGCACCTGGGTGGCTCAGTCAGTTGAGTGAATGGCTCTTGATTTTGGCTCAGGTCCTGATCTCAGGGTCATGAGATGAAGCCCTGCGTCCAACTCATGGAGTCTGCTTGAGATTCTCTCTTTCCCTTCGCCCCTCCCCCTGCTCACGATCTCTCTCTCTCAAAATAAATAAGATCTTTTAAAAAAAGAAGAAGAAGAAGAAGAGGGCCCATAACTTTGGGTAGCTCTCTATTATGAGCAAGCAAGTTCTTTCCCAGAAGCCCTCAGCAAACTTCCTCTCAGTGCCTCATTGGCTCCTTCCACAAGTGATGCACATGACATTTAGACATATTCCAGAGCCATTTCTGAAAAGGGTATGGATTTATTCCTGGAAAATAAGGCCCACCCCTAGAGCCCAGAGTGGGATCAGCTTCTCCTTAAGTACATTGGTTGAGAAGTGAACAATGGATACAAGAACAAAAATTGGGGTCCAGTGGTGAAGTTTAAATAGTTGCTGGGTATGCAGCAATGCCCATTATCGGCCCAAGTCCCTAATCTCCTGGAGCCTATCCACCACATAACCTCATCCCAGCCTCTCCACTCTGCCCCCTTCATTAGCACCTCCCTAATTAATATATTTATGCAAAATTGTATATACACTGATTAGATAAATATATGCCTAATTGTCTAAAATAGTTAAAACTTGGAGGGGGTGAGGCACAGAGACTTTGTCACTAGGAATTAGTGTTTGTTTGGCTTTAAA